TCCCTCAAATGGGCCATGGGGAGTGCGAGAGACCCCGTGCGGCTCCAGATCGCTGCTGGGCAGGGCGTCCTGGGTTAATGAGTGGCCGTTCATGCGCACAGCTTGGAGGGAACACTGGACTGGCAGGATGAATGTGCCACTCTCTAAACACATTCAGAGAACTGGTTAGCAGAAGCACTGACTGGCAGCAGATCCAGGGAGTACCTGTCATTTGCCCAGGCTGGTAGAGCAGCTCCATCGCTTCCTCAGGAAGTCTGACTTGGCCACAGTGGTCCGTGGCTTGGTAGCTTACAGGCAAGGCAGTTGCAATGCCTTTTCCCGGGGGATTCTGTCAGGTTCCACAGCAAGTAACTCTTCACACACGTTTCCTAAGAAGTGTTATGCTTTATTAGTGTACGAGACTGGTACCATGTCCACAGGATTCTTGTTAGGAATAACTAGAAGGCAGGACCATCCCAATACATATAGCTGGGCAAGGCAACTAGCTAAGCAAATGAACTTCGAGCACGTGGGCGGGAAGACTCCCGGCGGGAGATTACATAATGAGCGGGAGAGTCGCAGGGTTTTCTGAGAGCAGAAAAATTCACACCAAATGTGGACCGCAAGCCCTCCCTACTTCACAAGGCCCGACTGATAACGGCGTCTAGTTCCCACGGTCTCCCTGGCATGTTTACGGCAAGCTGCTGAGCTGCAAGCAAGCGGGAACAGGGAAGGGTAGAGTACACAGAAATGGCAGCGAGCTGACAGATCCCTTTGGAGAGGCTTGGAAACTCCAGTTAGTCTAAAATGCAGCTGCCCGGCTATTGTTTAGGGCCAGCCACTAGGTTCCAGCTACATCTGTCTTGGTCCAGTATTGGCTACCAATTTCTGGGTGGAAGTCAGAATGCTGATTTTGACCTTTTGTGGCCATAAGTGGATTGGGGCCAGGATACGCAAAGGACCACATTCTCCAAAATGAACCTACCTGAACACCAAGGTCATCTGGTGAGTCTTTGCTTTGTATGCCATCAACAGTTTTGGTCTGCTCACTGTCAGGGCCTGACAGAGCCTTTTTGGTGGCAGCACCAGAATTACAGAACGAACCCCCTTCCATCATAAAGCATGACTGCAAAGGCAGAGGCCATCAAATGTCATTAGAGCAGAGTGTGATGAGATTCATCACTTTAATGGTTCCTTTTTTCGGCTCCTTTGAACTTGTGGGAAACAATTTAGCTTGCTACCTTGCATAATCTTTCCAAAAGACTGTTGTTGTTGATGATGACGACATCAAGTCACAGATGACTTAGGGTGACCCCTGTAGGGTTTTCAAGGCAAGAGACCTCCAGGGGTGGCTTGGCCATGGCCTTCCTCTGTGCCACAACCCTGGACTTCCTTGGCAGTCTCCCATCCAAGGACTAACAATGGCCAGCCCCGCCTAGCTTCCGAGATCTGATCAGATCAGACTATCCAGGTCAGGGAGAGGCTGGGGAAATAGCAATGCTGTTTACCCCTCCATGAAATGTCTCACGAAACGAGACCCTGCACCACGCAAAACCAGCCTGACAGGCTCTTCTTACGAGGTTAACCATGACCAGCCAACTTGAAAGCAAGGAAGCTGCTATTAAGTTATCCACTGCACAGCACTGTGGACTGTAGTGCCTTGAGCACCTGGTGATGACAGTGTCTCCGTACAATTGTTGTAACCCCAGGAGAGATTTGTAGCCAGCATTTGGGGTCTGACAGACAGTGGTTCAATTCAAGATGAGCCATCTGTACACAGGTGTGTTAACTGTGTAGCTCAGTCCAAGGTGTCTCCAAGCAACATTAGCTGGTTTTTAAAACTAGCCTTCAGAAGTGCTTCAGAAATACCATGATGTTCATTTAACTGAAGGGTATCAGGTCCATTGTAACTTGGATGTGTCAGCAAAATGACAGTCTAGAAGAAGAAGAAGAAGAAGAAGAAGAAGAGATTGGATTTATACCCCAGGGCCCTTCACTTGGAGTCTCAGAGCGACTTACAAACTCCTTTCCCTCCCCCTCCCCACCACAGAAAGACACCCTGTGAGGTGGGTGGGGCTGAGAGAGCTCTTGACACAAACGGCTCTTTTTCAAGGACAGCTGTGCCGGAGCTTGCGACTGACCCAAGGTCACATCAGCAGGTGCAAGTGGAGGAGTGGGGACTCAAACCTGGTTCTCCCAGATTAGAGTCCGCACACTTAACCGCTACACCAAACTGGCTCTTTCTAAAATCAGTTTTGGTAATTTCCCTATATTTTCAGTTTTAAACATATCTTGAACTTGAAGGACAACCTGGCATTCCACTTCTGTGTTTCCTTTCAGTTTTTGTTTTATTTCTGTTATCATTTCCTGAGGTATTTCCTCAGAGGTGAGGAGGAATGCATTTCTAGCTGCCATTTTGAATTAGGGCCACCTTCTTGAAACCTGATGACCTGGAAACTAACAGCAAAGTCTGTGGAACCAATAAAACCTGAAGGAGGGGGACTGTAATAAGTTTTCCACATGGCTTCTTTGCCAGCTCCTGGACTGGTCTGATGATTTTGATGGTTGCATTTAAGTTATGTGTTTTTCTTGCCTCAAAATTGTGAATTGGACATTTATAGGAAGATTTACATAGTATCTGTGTGATCCAGTCTATGGCAAGTTGTAATAAAGTAAAACACCAGTACCTCCAACGATATCAAAAGGTAGAACTCTGCACGTTATCCAGTTAAAACCAAAATCTATATTTAAAATGGGGGGGGGGAACAGTGTTTAAAGGAAGGTAAAGAAAAATCTGAATCTCTCTCCAAATGCTTGTTGAAATATAAATGTATTTGCTAACAATTCTCAGAAGATGAGAAAAGAACAGACCATGTGAGCCTCTCTGTAAGGGAATTCTGCCGAAGAGGCAGCGTTGTTGAACGGGCCCTGATCCCTAGCAGTCTGACGGTGGATAAAGAGATTCATGCGTTTATTTGTTTATTTGTAAATTGATTTGTTTAGGGTAGCTTACAGATTCCATAGCCCCCAATGTGCTGCTCTGTTTTCCAGCAATGCCATTGGCCCTCTGGTTGCTCTCTGGCTCATCTACGAGCAGGGCGGGGTCATGCAAGAGGCACCTACTCCCGTCTGGCTGCTCCTGTACGGCGGCGTCGGCATCTGCGTGGGCCTCTGGGTCTGGGGGCGAAGAGTGATCCAGACCATGGGGAAGGACCTCACTCCCATCACCCCATCAAGGTAGGGGCGTGTCCAAGGTAGGGGCTTGCCGGCCCTGCGTCTCCCACATCTGCTCTGGAAGATTCAGCCATAGCATTGCCTGCCTAACAGGGTAGATTGCTGCCTTTGATTTTAACAGCAATAAAGTGTTGCATCCTTTTTTAAACTAACATGTTGCTTTTGAATAGTTGAGGTCTAGCTGAGCAGAATATTCTGCCAAAGTCTTGAGTAGCATAGAAAAGCATAAACAAAGAAATGGCAAAAATCAGAGTTGTTTTTCATAAGCTTTCAAGTCTAAAAATGGATCCATGGTTTTCATTTGCTTTTTAATGCATACTAGACCTCTGCCATTAAGCTAATCACTAACTGAGCCTGATTCCTTGGACAGCAGAAGGGTAAGACGGCCAGGGCGAGTGAGTGAGCCGCTCTTCAGGCTCCGTGTGGAGTGGCCGTGTGTGGACAGGGTCTCTGTTCTTCAGCAACTCCTTGTTCCTCAGTGTCACATAATGACTGTAAATCAATTGGAGAAGATGCTGGTAAGACAGGGGCATGTGGCATGTGGCACCCGTCCAGACTGATGACGTCTTTTTTTAAAAAAAAGAGAAAGAAAGAAAGAAAGAAAGAAAGTGTGACTGTGAAAGTGTTTTCTTATGCTTCCTGCAGTGGATTCACTATTGAGTTGGCTTCGGCGTTCACAGTTGTGATAGCTTCCAATGTTGGACTTCCTGTCAGTACGACACACTGCAAGGTATGCCCTTTGCCCAGCGGCTGCGGCCAAGCTGCTCTGGACTGTTTGTCTTCTAACTCTGCCGCTCAGATCAGTTTCGTGGTGGCATGACCCCTGGAGGAGGGAATGGAAAACGGGCACGTGGACAGAAAGCACCCCACCCCCATGTATAACGTTCATAAATGGGCAGGTCTTACGCTGCTTTCACAGTAATATTTCACATATTTCATGGTGGAACTGAAGATATGAGAATGTTTGGAATCAGTCTCCCCCCCCCCCCCCACAACACACACACACATTAAATTTTGCATAGTTCTGTGTCTTCTGGGAAAGGGATCTTCAGCTGTAGGTCCTTTGCAAATCCTGCTGATTTCAGTGGGTCTTGTGTTCAGTGGACTGTGTGGCTGCCACTTCCTGAAACCCCTCTCCAGTTATTGAAGAATAAGCATGCAATTAGGAGAGAGAGTTCTGAGCAAGAGTGGACTTAGCTCACTTAAAAACGTTTGGGCCAAAATGCAAGACACGAGCTGGGCCATGGCTGCCCAGCCTGACTTGTTGTCCCGTGTATGATCGGGGCAACTCACCCTCAAAGCCTCCTGCAGCTCCTTTGGGCTCCGGAGCCCTGCCAGGGGGAGGAGGAGCTTCAGGTCATTTTCACCAGCAGAGATGGCTGTGGGGCAGGGGCCCGTCTCCCCCCCACCCCCCGGGGGGGGGCCTAGTGCCAGGGCCGGCCCTGTTTCGTGGAAGGTCCTCCTCTGGTCATGCCACGGGACACTCTGATCTGTAGCACCGTTCTCTGTCCAGCGGTCCGTCCTTCTCCTCCCTCCACTTTCCTGAGGAATGCCTGGCATGGGATTTCCTGTGTGTCACTTCACACCACAAACTTCCATTTGTCTTCTTTTTATTTCTTCACAGTGGATTTTGCATTGAAGTAATGTGTGCGCTAACCGTACTTGTAGCCTCAAATGTGGGTATTCCCATAAGCTCCACTCATTGCAAGGTATTGGAGTTTGCAGTGGTCACACCAATTAACTACACTCTCAGAACTTTTAAAAACAAAGATTCAAATCACTAAGTGCTGTTTCCCCCCATTTTGCCTTCATTGTGTAGAACATTGAGCAGTTAAAAAAAATATATGAAACAGAATATGGACTTCCTATTTAGTTTCAAAATTACTTGTATTTGTGATGTCCCCCCCCCCCCGGCAATGTTAGGATGCCAAAAGATTTTTCTGTTATTATTTGCTTGGATGAAATACACGTAGCTGATTATTGTTGCTGCTACTTATAGACCTCATTGTAGTGCTCAGTTGATAGTCAACAAGTAACAACCATCTTAACTTTAAAAGCGTCTTGCTTCTGTGCATTAACTCTCTCATTCTCAGTCTTGCACTAACATAGTTTTATATAAATCGGGGGGCCCAAAAACAAAAAAAGATTTGCTCAGCTTTTCACGTTGTGGATCCTTTCCAGGCACCTGAATGAGTCACAAGAAGGCTCGGTCCTGAGTTTCAGCACCTGAAGGCAAATGGCACTTGGTCCCAGCCAATCAGAGCACAGCTCTCCCTTGATGGGGGCAGCACAGCCCATTGGGTGGCCAGGGTTCTAACCTGTATTTTCATCAAAATGTAGGTCATGTTTAGAGATGCACTTACCAATGCCAGTATTATTGATGCCCTTTTAAACTGAGGCAAATTTATGAAAGGAAGAAGTGCATCTTTAAAGATAATTATTAAATAAAACTGTAGCACATTTTATTCACAGTTTACAGCAGTATTTTTTTCCCTTTGCAGACCCTGACCCAGATTTTCTCTCCAGTGCAGTTACCTTTTCCTCCCCCCCCCCCTCCAATCCCCCCCCCCCCCAGTTTTTTTTAAGGCTATTGTGCTCTTTGTATGACCCACCAACTGAAGGAGGAAGGCCCATTCAAGGCAGGAAATGAGGGTGGAAGGATGGAGAAGACCAGACAGAAATGTCCTGGAACTGATGAAAGTTTGCCAAGCATTGGGGTGTGAGATGGGAGTCTCAGGAACCCGCCCTTGCTCCAGAGGGGCTCGGTAGAAGCCTCCAGGATTGGGTGTGAGAGATCCAGCAGACGGGGGAAGAGAGATTCACTTTGGAAAGCACCGTGATTGGGATGGAGACATGCTTCAGTGTGTATCTGTCAATTACACATGAAGGAGCGGCATTTGATTATATGCCCACAAAACCTGGTCCTGAACTGAATCGACCAAGCGAGCCCCATCTCATCAGATCTCGGAAGCTGAGCAGGGTTGTCCCTGGTCAGTGCTTGGAGGGGAGACCCCCCCAAGGACGTCCAGGGCTGCTCCACAGAGGCAGGCATTGTCAAGCCATCTCTGAATGTCTCTGGCCTTGGAAAACCCTACGGAGTCACCATAAGTCAGCTGCAACTTGACAGCGAAAGAAGAAAGAAAGAAAGAAAGAGAGAGAGAGAGAGAGAGAGAGAGAGACCTTGGCTAGAGATCATGTTATGTAGCCTGTTTGCAAGGCCGCTGAGCCTCTAAATTAACTTCATGTAGCCTGCATGTTCCCTCTAAGCTATGGATCTTGTGAGCAAAAATTCTACTTTGTGAGCTCCTGGCATTAAAGTTGTGAGAGAGCGATTTGGCTGCTGCATAGATTAGTTTGCTCTGGAGCCCTCCTTCCTGGGCTAAGATGAAATTGTGTGAGCTGGAGGCTAAAAAACTGTGAGCTAGCTCACACTAACTCAGCTTAGAGGGAACACTGCCCACGATCCAGAGCACTTTTCCTTTTTGCACAGGTGTACCACCTGTTTTGCACGCACCTGTTTTGCATGCAGAACTTCCCACTCCACTTGGAAGAGGAGCTGAGGTCGTGGTACTGGGAAGAACCTGGAGAGCAGCTGCAAGTTGTAGTAGCAAGTCCTGGGGAGGTGGACCAGAGGTGTGACTTGCTACAAGGCAGTGACAGATGTTCGCAGTTTGCAGGGTTAAGCAAGAATTGGAAAAAGTGATGAAGTACATTGTTACACATAAGTATGTAGTTAAGTGTGGTCATATCAGATTCTTCACCGTCTGTGTGGTTCTTGGTCACAACTCCAGCTCCTGGGATGAGAACTTAAACCCTTCTTATTTGGTGCTGCCGCCTTTTGTGCAGGATTCCTCTAAAGACGGAAACCCAAAGGGGGGGGGGGATTCTCTCAGGTACTCCAGAACAGGCTTGTAGCCCAAAGTGTTTCAATCCAAAAGGGTAACTTTAAAAGAAAAACATTTCTCATGAGAAAATACAGGAATACTCACAGGAAGTTGCTTATAGTATAAGCTCACGTTTAGAAAACAGCTCTGTCAAAAGACTGCCAGGCACAGTCAGCCCTTCCATCGCAAGAGAAAAACAGGCTGTGAAACCGTTGAGGCCAGTGATTCCCACGTGTGTCCTGGTGTGTCTGCTTGGCTTCTTCCCCAGACTCAACAGCAGTAGATCCTGGCTTTTCTCCCCCTCGCTGGGGCACTGGATGCCTCAGAAGCGTCACCTGTCCATTTGCGGGCGGGCGGGG